AGGAGTCAGGCTGAGCAAGCGCCTGCTGGAGCCGGGAGCTGAGCTGCTCACGGCATTCCCATGAAGTGTGTGGAGAATGTCCTGGGAGTCCTCCCAGGATTCGGGGGCCGATACCAAGGAGATGAAAATGTGAAAAGTGACAGACAGTGGCAACTGAGCTTCTCCCAGAAGACACAGCAAAACCCAAACGGAAGCAAAACCAAAGGCAATTTATGCTAAAAGGATTCATGTATGCAGGCTTGTTCTCAAACAAAAATCAGCACAAAGACATTATATCCAAAGAAATCTTGAAATAAAATTACAAAACAGCTCTAGAATGTTCTAGACGGTCTGGACATGCACCTTTGTAGTAATGGCACTTGTGTGACGGTAGACCCTGAGTGGCCGATGGCTGCTGGACCAGTAATTGATCACGTCATCTTCCATCCCACAAGGGCTCAGAAGACCAAACCATCCTCCCTAGATGTGCAGATGAAGCCTGTCTCTGTCTCTAGAACCAAAAAGGTGTGGATTAAGACCCCCCAGAGTCTTCTGAGTATGGGTGAAACTGTGACTCCTACAGCAACGGCAACGGCAAAGCCTGTCATCTGCACCCAGAGCCCCTGTCACCTGCACCCGGAGCCCCCGTTGTCTGCACCTCAGCATTGACAAAAGGCTCACAAGCCTGCATGGATCTCCATCTTTCTGGAAGTCCCTGAAAGTGGCACTATGCAGTTCCAATGACTCTAAAGGAAGACCTGGGTTGCCACAGAGCTAGCTATTAAGTCATTTTGATTACAAAAGAGCTTGCATGATTTTATATATTTAAAACCTACATGACTACTATTATGTTCTTACTACAGATCATTTCAAACACAGAAACAGGTAGAATTTGGGCTGGCTCATGACCCAACTGTCAGAATGGCAGATCTTAAAACACCACTGGCTCCCTGAGCCATGTATTTTAATGAAAACCCAGACATTTTATCCATAAATGTTTCAATATTTAAAATAACAACTTACTTTTTTTTGGGGGGGGGTATAGAGACAGCCCAGCTGACAATGAAGATTTACCATTACAACAGCACCCTCTAAAGGTGGGTAATATATTTTGTTTTGTTTGTACAAAAACCACTTCTGAGAGCTGAGTTTTCTGCAGGAGATTGTTCTTAAAACCCTCCTATTATAATTTTGAATGCATCGCGTTTTAAAGTGTAATGGCGTGACTGATGAGGTAATTTTTAATTCCACCTAGACAAATAGTTGAGAACAAGGAACCATGGGGTGGAGTTCAGTGGCAGAGGGCTCGTCCAGCACACAAAACCCTGGGTTTGATTTCTAGGGCAGAAATGCAAACAAGCAAAAGCATAATAACACCGCATGAAGACAAGTCTATAGTTTTCGGTTGTGACAGCGTTTCATACTGTGGGGAAGGCCTCCTTAACTCACACAGCACGAACTGACACCTAGCCTCTGCCCAAGTGCCCAGCCAGTCGGGTAGGTCACCATGAAGATGCCAGGGTGTAAGAGAGTGACTGGCAGGGACTCCTGGCACACAGAGACCACGTGAATATTAGGGATTCCCCAGCACCAAATACGAGCCCTTGAAAGCCAGAAAGCCAACGATAAAGGACTGTGCACAAAACACAGAAAAGGCACAGCAGGAAATGGTGCCCGTGTCTGCAGCAGGACTCCCCTCCCACGGTGGCAGGACACATCCTTACAAACCTAAGCACAAGCGGCACCCGGCCACCCCACACTCGGGTAGTTACCCGCAGCTCTAGTCATCACCGTCCACAATTGTAACCAAAGTGTCCTTTGGAAGCGGAATGCCTAAATCGAGTTTCACCCAGAGACAAAAAGAATAAGCTATGCAGCCGTGAAGGACTCAGAAGCCACGAAGGTTGGGGAAGCCTTGTGGCTAGGCCTGCATTTGCAGCACAAACCAAACGTTCTCAAAGGCGACTGCTTCATGGCCATCTTGAAAATCTGCAGTAAAAACCTCTGGTTACGAAGCACACTCTAAGCGCCAACACTCTGTTCCTCAAAAAAGACCAGGAAGTAAACTGAGCATGGCGGTGCACACTGGATTCCCAACACTTGTAGCCCTGATCATGAACCTAAGCGGAATCTGGGACAAAAAGAAAACAAGGGAAAACCATTCCATTCCAGTTGTTAGATTTTTCCAGACATTGGAAGCTACTGTCAGTTTGCTGCCTACTTACATAAAGGTTTCCTCTGGATGTGGATGGGTTCTCTTGGTTAGTTTTTTTTTAAACACAGGGTCTCATGGAGCCCAGGCTGATCATGCATTTAGTGGCCCTCCTGACTCAACTTCCGGAGTGCACAGCCTCACCCAACTCCTGTCAACTCTAGATCATAGAAAGGACCTCGCCTGGCACAGTGGAGCGCGTCTTTAATCGCAGCCATTGGGAGGTTGAGATAGGGGAACTCTTTGAATGTTAGATGCCCGCCTGGTCTACACAGTGAGTTCCAGGTCAAGGCTACATAGAGACCCATCTCTACAAAAACAAAACAAAACAAAAAAACTCAGAGAAACAAGTTCAAGCTCTTAAACTTTACTAAGATTTTATCTCAAACACATGTACAAACTATGAATCCTATTTCCTGTATTTTCTGGAACGTGTGTGTAGCTATGACCCATGTCCAGAGAGGACCTGGGTTTGGTGCAGGGCTTCCATTGCCCTTTGACGACCACAGGTGTGAGCCAGCTCTAGATAGGGCTTCGAGAAGGTTGCAGGTCACGGATGCAGCCAGTTCTGACAGCTGGAGTCAGTATGGGATCCTTAAAAACCTCGTGGTAGGCCTTCAACACCTACTTTTCTTCTTGGCCCAGCCCTGGCATCCATGTACGAAGGCAGCCAAAAATGGGGTGGGGGAGGAGTCCATCTGAACCTCTGCGTGGGGGGCTCTGGGGCAAAGCCCTGGGGACAGTACAGACAGGTGGCGGTGGTGGTCTGAGGGAGCCCTGCCCTGGCCCAGCATCTGCAGCAAGCCCGTGGTTCTCAGCTTCTGATAGAGACTGGCCACCCCCTAGCAGCTTTCCTACTCACCTCCCAGGGGAGGGAAGGAAGGAAGGGTTTGGGCCATGTTAGAAAGGGTTTTATTCATCTGGGCCGTACGGGGGATGAAATGAAACATAAACATCAGTGACTGACAGCCGGGACCATGGTCTGGGGGCAGGAGGTGAACCGCGGCTGACGACCCCGGTGAGCACACCACCAAGTCAGAACGATGCTGTAGGATATACGGATGGACACTGCTCGGAAAGCCAGGCGGGGAGCTGGTCTGGCAGATTCCGGATGGATGGTCTTGCTGTTTTCACTTGCATCTCAGGGCAGCTCTGCCAACAGGGCTCCCCCTCGGCTGTTTCACAGGAGGCGCTGACTGAAGACAGAGGCCCAGCTTATTGCTGCTGGAGTGAATTAATGCGCTCAGTCACACTAGAGAGGCGTGGCTTCTGGGTCAGTCCATCTGTGACCTCACACATCTGTGACCTTGATCACATCGTTCAGGGGAGAGTACGACCACCTTAACCAAACGATGGGGAAGGCAAACCACTGAGGGGCTCCGCCTCCCGATGACATCCGACATCTCAACACCGGATGCAGCAGGACCTGAACTCCACCCCTAACTTCTCTGAAAATCAAGTCCACACAGGAGGCTGAGCCCACCAGAGTGTGCTCCTGAGGTGTAGCTAGCTGAGCACGGGGGACGCTGTCTTCGTCCCGAGCTTCACTGCCAATGTAGTTAGTGGTTAACCCGGGAAGGGGACATAAGGCACTGGTGTCTTTATGAACAAAGCTCATCCTGGGTGCTCCCCAGTCCTGGCATAGGGACAGGAGGGGCCCCTGCTCACATGAGAAGCCCTCCTGGGAAGCCAACCAAACCTCAGGCCCCAACTCCAGCCACGAACAAACAGGCTGTTAGACAATGTGCAGGCAAAGATCTATCTTCTGGATGGCCTCAGGTCAACCTGAAATGGACTGCTCATTTGCGCCCTTTTAACCTGCTTCCCTACCCTGGCCACCACCAGGTGGGAATGGATGGCCGACCTGATTGGGTAGGTTTTGGCAGGCTAATCTTCATCTCCTAGGCATGAGAGTTCCCTGGGCTGGTCTTCATTTTACACTTATTTGCATACCCACGCCCAGCCAATCAGTGCAGAAGGGGGGTCTATGTAACAGGATGAACAGGCGACCGATTTGCCTGGAGTAAGAGGAGAGCGGATAATGCCTTTGGCTCTTACTGCCCCTGAGGTTTTTGCCTCAGGCAGAGAACTCGCTTGGTCTCTTGCTGTTCCATTCTCTAACACTGCATGACTGCAACTCAAGCCTCTTAACGCAAGCTGGCGAGCTCTCAGGTAGCACCCTGCCCAACTAAGACTGCAAACCTCAGAGCCCTGTCCTGTCCCCCTGTGGTGACCAGGCTTCCTGTTGGAACTGTCAATCTCATGCTAACAGATTCACCCTTCATTCTTGCAGAAGGCGGGACAAGAACGGGCAAGGCAGGATAACTGCCCACAGCTCAGCAGAACAAGCTGCTGAAGAGAATAAATGACTGGCTCTTCTGTTCAGATATCTTTGAAGACAGAGGCCACCCCGCGCCCAGCTTCTCCTGAGCACACCTGTGTGGCAGACTGACTGCCAAGTAGATCATCTCATGAAGGAAGAACCCTCTGGGGCGCCAGAACAGAGCCACCCGATTCCCCGTGTCCTGTCATGCGGGAATCAGGACTCTGCTTTCTTCACGCTTTGACGCAATCTTCTGGGGGGGGGGGACAGCAAGCAGCGGTGGCAGCAAGCTCCATCACCTAGTCCCAGGGGACTCCTCCACCGCTATTAATTCTCTACAGTGTGCTGTGCCTGCTGCTCTACAAGCTCTGACAAGAACGGGCTTGAGGCGTGGACCCGCAGCCCAATGCAGCACCTGGCTGCTGAGCTGGAGTCTGGCTGAGGGAATTCCAAGAGGGCTGCTCCGCTGTCAGGCACCAGAGGAGAGAACTTACAAAAAGGATTTTATTAAATGGAGGAAGAATCCGGTGTGTGGAATATGAAATATACAAAAACTTTACATCGGCTCTTAGGGCAGCAGAGACCCCTCTTGTCACACTGCCCATACCGGCTGCAAACAGAACCAGGTCATCTGCAGATCCGCGGAGGGACTGAAGGGTGGCTGGGGCTCCCAGGCCTGCCTGTGAGTCTTGGTGTCCTGTACACACGTATGTACACTGCCATTTCAATGAAAAATCCTTCAAAGTTCTGATAGCGTCAGCTGAAAAAGTCCCAAGATGCCATGGTTTTGCTACATTGATCTCTGAGTCTTCCTGGGCCCCCCAGTCCTCACACTAATTATGTACGCTGTTGTATTCACAGGGAAGTCCCCAAGGCCTCTCACTACGTGACCAGACAGCCCATATCCACTCTCGCCACGAGAGGCCTGCTGAGCTCTTTGGCATAGCACACCAACCCCTCGTAACACTGTCGCTTAAAAAAGTAGACTTTCCTATAGTAAAACTTCTTACAAACACTTCTTTCTGTAAAATAATGTGTTTCTGTATGTGGAGCTCTGCAAAATATACGGTTTTTTGTGTTCTTCCTGGAGGAAAAGGACCCAAGCCAGGGGCTGGTCTGGTGGCAGGTCCAATTCACATGAGGTCATTCAGCTCTGCCTCCAGAGCGGCGGCCATCTCATCGGCTTCGGAGCTACTGCCTTCCTCGTCATCGTTGCTGGACTCTCCGCTGGACTCGCTGGCAGCATCTTCCTCATTCAGTTTTCTCTTGTGGCCTCTGAAGAGAGACGAGCAAGAATACTACTGTGAGACACTGGAGCGGGCAAGCACGCAGCCCCCGCCGCCCCGGCCCAAGACAACCCTGTGCATGGCAGGGCATGCTACGTGGCACGCTCCACACGTGGCACACTTGGAGGGGAAGGGAGTGGCAGACGGCTGTGTGGGCTGGTGGAGAACGTCCCAATCCTCGGGCATTTGAGTAAGAGTTGGGTGATGGACAGGGCACTCAAACACACACGAGCTCTCAACACCATGGAATTGGTTCCAGCCCAGTAAGCATGTAGGGATGCTCCCAGACTCTAAGTGGAAAGAGTGTGGACGACGGGAATGGCCACCACATGGTGACATTGCTCAGGTCTGGGGACCTCTAGGTGTGCACCCATGTATCACTCCATCTGTAGCTATCTTCTTCTTCCCATGTTGCTTTTACACACAAGTTGCCATTTGATTTATGGCCAGTGCTTTCCATATCGCTACTGAAAACTCATGTGTCGCCACAGTTCTATTTAGGCCTGTATCTATTCTGAGTTAATTTGTGCTGCATGTAAGGTATGGGTTGAGATTTCTTTCTTTTGTAGTTGCACAGCTCACTGCTCTAGCACTGTTTGTGGGGAAGAAAATTTAAGAACTGCCTGAGGGAATATAAAGACTGACTATTCAAAGAAACTGAATAAAAGAAGAAACCTCCCCAAAAGTGTATTTGGCTGCAGGAATGCGAGTATTTGTTTAGCCAAACAGATCACAAAGTTGCGAACACTGGATTTGCAAGGCAGATGGCGCACACTTGGCTATGTACGGGATGCAATGTATGAAATGCTCTAAGAACGGCAGGACAACAAATATCCCAGAAGAGAAACACTCCTCAAGTGAACAAAAGCACCAAGATTCAAGCACACAGCACACACGGAGTGCTGGGAAATCCAAGTCAGAGTAACAAGGGTACAGAACACCTCAGTCCCTGGGGGGGGGGGAGGTGGGACGAGCCCTCCCACAGCTGGGTGCAAGCACTTGATGCCTTCAGTTTTGGGAGCTGAATGAGCTCAGACTGGCTTTCTGAAACAGGCCCAACAACGTGCTGACCCTGAAACACACTCGCTTTGGTCCATGTGTGCTTTGTCCCACCTGCAGGACATCACGTGGTCTAGGATCAGCATGGAGATGGCTGGGTGGGCAAAGTGGAGGAAGGAGGGGCCTGCACTTGGATCCGTGGCAATCCATAATCCCAGGCAGGGGTGGAGTGGAGGTGGAGGCAAGCAGACCCTGGAGACGTGTGTGCTGGCTAGCCTCGCTGAAACCATATTGGGTGAGAAACTGATGAATTGCCCGTGCACGTGTGCATGCTCGAGCACACGAAACAAGCTGAGGAGGAGGCGGTCACTCAGCCTTGTGAGAACAAAGAAGGAGGTTTACAGATCCCGGGGCACTGGGGTTCAGGGCTGGCAGATGCTGGCACAATTTGCAGTGGATTCTGGAATGCGTTTTTAACTAGTGTTTGCTATCCATGCTCAAAGGGCTTTAAATAAATCTCATCCACCCTCACAAATCCCTTCCACTTAGCATGCTCCTTTTTCCAACCACATCTTCACCTAGAGAGGGGCCAAGGACAGGGGCAGCTCCAAACTGTAGCTGAGTGGATGAATAAATACCACAGGACACCCAGCCTCCCACATTCATGACTGACTGGGCTCCGAGTGTCATTGTTTACAGTGTAGTACAAATAAGCGCCCAGGGGTCGGCTGGGAGGAGGAGATGCTGGGCAGACATGGAAGCCATGCAGCTCTGCTCTGAGGAAGCTGGCTTTGCTCTGGGGATGTGGAAGCATGTGCGCTCACCGCTGAAGACCCTTACATGTGATCACATCATTGGTGAAAAACTCTGGCAGCTGAGTGGCACAACTGTCTGCCTGGGACTAACCCTGATGCCCAGAGTAGACACAGGTTTGCAGCTGGGAGTTCAGAGGCTCCTGGGAAGCATGGGAGGAAAGAGCCTGGTCAGACCCCGAAAGAGCAGGAGGAAAAAAGTCAGAGAAAGACAGCAAAAGGCACAACTGGTCCTCACAGCATCCTTCTAAAGCCAAGCGGTGAACACTCCTCACGACAGTCAAGCATTCTAGCGGTGAACACTCCTCACGACAGTCAAGCATTCTAGCGGTGGACACTCCTCACGACAGTCAAGCATTCTAGCGGTGAACACTCCTCACGACAGTCAAGCATTCTAGTGGTGGCCTGCAGAGCACCCAGAAGGAGCAAAGAACGGAAGGCACCAAGTGTGGCAACTCAGTCTGACAGATCCAGAAGCGCTCAGAAAACCACGGTGTGACTGGGAGGGAGGCTACCGTGAGAAGCCCATGTCCTAACCATTAGGGGTTCTGAACCCAACAGTGAAATGACTCCAGAAGTCTTTGCAGCAGCCTGTTCTGCAGACACCACTCCCACCAACAGCAAACAACCATCCTGCTTAGCCAGAAACATTACAATATTATTACAGGAAAAGACTGAACACTCTACCAGCTAAAACTAAAGACAGAGTCAGGTAGATCTCTGTGAATTGCAGGCCAGCGGGGGCTACACAATAAGACCTGGTCACAAAAACCCAGCAACAAAACCCAAACCCAACTAACCAAGTAAGAATCCTACAAAAACCCCAAGGATAGTGACAAAATGAACTAAAGGCTAACTAGCTTTATTTCCGCTGTTACGGCCTGGGACCTGAACACACCACGGGGGAGGACGGTACAGCCACATGCACCCATCCTGGGTACCTTCTAGCTGGTGAACAGAAAACGGGAGGAGGCGGCCAACATTGACACAACGAGGGTCTTCTATCTGATTCGCTGCCGTGGGAGCCGGCTCCGCATGGGTTCAAATGTCAGCACAGTTAGGTCCCCTCCTCTCTTTAGGGCCAGGCTGGTACTCCCCAGCCTACCCTCGGGAAAGCAGGAAAACTTGGTGTTGACTCTGGAAACCCTCACTTCCTCCTGGGGTGTGATGCAGAGAACTCAGCCACACAGAGGCAGGCTTTGCTATGGAGACTTAATTCCCTCAAGCACATTTTGGCTGCACTTGGACTCCTAATTCTCTTGCCTTTGCTTCCCTGGAATTACACACACGACAGCCACGCCTAGCTCTAACTGTTTGAAAACAATATACAAACACCATCTTTTTCTGGTCTTCAAGCAATCCTCTGAAGGTCAATTTGGCCTCTTAATGTTTCTAAAATTTAAACCGGTACTTAATAACATAAGTAAAAGGAAAAATAAAGGTGGAGTACTGTTTTGGATAGAAAGCCAAATGATGAACTATTTTTTAAAGTAAAGAAGAGACAGGATGCAGACACCACCATCAGAACTGAATTTTACAACAGGTTTCACATTTCCAGGGCGCTTAGGCTGACAGAACCTTTCCACACAGCCTCTGATCTGTACACAGAGGCTGCCTGAGCTATGCCACCCATCCTGCTGGCCCCCGGGCTCCAGACAGAGTCGTCACCATTGCGCCTCTAGTTAATGGTCACAGGAAACCCGTTGGGCGATGGTACGTATCCGTGTGGGTCTCCCAGGCCCTTCAAACAGGGCAATGTCTGGCCCAGGGGTGTTGAGCAGGGTGACTGCACGTGCTCATCAACTGTAGGAATAAGGGACTCTTACTGAAATGCATGGACCTGGGTCTGGGTGGGAACTTGTGCTGACTCCAAGGAAACAGGAAGCAGAGATGGTAACACCACGGGAGAACACAGTTGGGGAAAGAGAAAGACGCAAGGCCAAGGCAGGGCAGACAGCGGGCAGGCAGGCTCACGGTGGAGAGAACCGGGAGAGCTCTTTCGTGACAATTCCTACTGTGGGCAACCACACTAGCCCGGCCTTCATGGTCTCAGCCGTAAGAGACCCGGGTAGAGTTTTATACAAACAATCGCAGGCAGCCGGGCCTTGCTTCCAGGACAGCCTCCAAACCAATACAGGGAAACCCTGTCCGGAAAACCAAAAGACAAACAAAACCAGACAAAAAAAAAAAAAAAGAAAGAAAAAAAGAAAAACAATGCACAGGGTCTACACTTGGCTAAAGCAATGTCTGCAGCAGTATAGTTTAAAATAAAGCATGAATAAATTTGGGCAACTAAAAATCACCTCGAAAATTAGAAACAGACAACAGTAGGCCACTGATAAATAAGTGTCTGCAACTGAAATGTTTGACTTCCTCTTAGTGTAACATGCAGTGTTTATATTTTGTTCTTACAACCAGCTGCACAACTCCATAGAGAAGTATTAGCAGAGTTAATTTTGGAAAATCTGAGAGCTCAAAAAAGCATATCAAGTTCAGTGTGGTAGAAGACTATAAATAAGAATAATAGATGTAAATTCCCTCCCCAGTACCTCACTCTCTGAACTCACTGTCATCACAGCACACATGGAGCCCTGCCTAAGGGTTATTATTCAAAGAGCTGCTGTCTCACACAGCACCCAATCTAGTAAGAGCCAACAGCTCAAGGGTGACGTGACCTGCTCACGTGCTCATTACAACGGGGTGGTTGGTTTGGTAGAAGGGAAAGACAAGCATTAATGGGGCAACCCCACTGAAGGGAGATGTCATTCTGTATATGTTTCTCATACTGGTTAATGAATAAAGCACTGTTGGCCAATAGGAAAGAAAGAGAGGAGGGACTAGGAGACAAGGAGGAGAGAGGAAGTAGTAAGGAGGAGTCAAGATGGAGGGACTGGGGAGACCAGATGCCGGCCCCACTCCCCAGTAAGAAGACCACGTGAAAATACTAGATTAACAGAAATGGGTTAATACTTAAGACAGAGCTAGCTGATAAGAAACAAGTACCTGGCCAACAGCAGTGTATCAAATACAGAGTCTCTGTGTGCTGACTGGGGCTGGTGCGGCGGCAGGACTAGACCGGCAGCGGGAGGAAAAACCTTACTCCTCACACCCACCTTATTCCACTATCTTCCCCGAACAAGGGTGGGTCTGGGTAAGCTGCACAAGCACGTAGAAATACTTCTCCACAGATCTGCGCCTGTGTGACTTTGCAAATACTAAAGAGTGTGACTGCACACACTATGTGAGGTCCATCCCCTGACACACATGCACACACTATGTGAGTGTCCAGATCTCAACAGGCAGCAGCACAGTTAGGACACACAGTGTTACAGTGTTGCTGTGGAAAAGCTGACTGGATGATAGCTGGGCAGGGAGAGACTGACTGCCAGAGTCAGACTAGGAGAATTCTGGGAAGAGGAAGGGAAGAGTCAGAGAGTCGCCAGCAATCGCAGAGGAAGCAAGATGAAAATGCTAAACATTGATAGGAATTATGGGTTAATTTAAGTGTAAGAGTTAGCCAGTAACAAGCCTGAGCTATCGGCTGAGCATTTGTATGGAACATAAGCCTCTGTGTGGTAATTTGGGAAGTGGCTGTCGGGTATTTGGGACTGAGCGGCTCTGGTTCAGGAAACGTCCCTTTACACAATGTCACACAGCTCACGTGCTTTTCACAAACACTTATCCTGCTTTTGAAAAGCCTGCAAGCTCACACACAGACACAAGCGATGTCCATTTCAGCTAGGAGCGTTTCTGAGCTGTTCTGCCCTTCTGGCTACCCTCAGATACACTGACTCAGGCTACACTACCAGCTGCCCAAAGATCCTTCGCTTCCTTCTGGCCAACAGCCTCTATCTCTTTCAAGGGCCGACAAGACAAGTTGCATCATATCTGAGGCTCCAGCCGTGAGCTCCTAACTGCCCGTTCCCGCCTATTTCCTCTAGAGTGCTGCTGGCAAACACTGCGCTTCAGCGTGTGACGGGCAGGCCCAGCACCACAGCTAAGTAACCAGAAGGAGGAAGAGAAACACAGAGCGCTCTTTCCTGTGGCTACTGCCGACATTCCCTGCCGCCTATGGGGTTCACAATGTTGTTGAGGTATTGTGCACTCAGTCTAAAGTGCCAGGGCTCCCTGGAGGGAGGCTGCTGGCCAGGGAGTCTTCCTCCACTTCCGGGGCAGTGTTGCCAGGAAAAGGAGTCCGTCAGGTGACTGCTCCATGAGCACCCGGATGACCCTCTGTCCTGCTTCCCACCCGGGAGCAGGTCCAGCTCACTGCAGAGCCTTTGGAAACACACATTTTCTTGCTGCCTCTTAAGTTTTCTTCTCATCTTTCATGGTCACAATTTTACTGTACTGTGTCTGGTGTGGATTTATTATCATACCTGTGGTGCGTTTAACTTTTGGGTTAAAAAGAAAAATTAATGCCATCAAATTCCGAAGTTTTTAGCCAGGAATATTTTTTTTCTGCTTTCTTTCTCCTATAGTTAATTATCATGCCAAACCCAATTTCTGTGTGAGCATGTCTTCAGCACTCCTGAGTGAGGCCCCTCGATGTGTGTGTGTGTGGGGGGGGGCGGGGGAGGGGGGAGGACTAGCATTCGCCTCCAGGGGATGGAAGGGTGGGGCAGGCTTGAGCAGAGATGCCCTGGCCCTCCCGGGTCGCCCCACTCTCCATGAGCACACAACAACAGGCCCTGGGGCGGGGACATCGCTCCTTATTAAAGTCTGTCACCCAAGCGTCACAGTGACCCCCAAGACTGCCACACATGCTGCTGCTCTTACTTTGCCCTGACTCTAGGGACACACTAAGTCGGGCTGTGTTTCAAGGCTGACAGCTGTTGGCTGTGATCCGCCCTTGCCTGCTCCCTGCAGAAGCTCTGCTGGAAGGGAAGGCAGCTCTGAAGGACGGGGTCTGAGAGGTCACGCCACACCTGTGTCCTCTACCTGAGTGGCAGCCACGTTTCAAGCCGTGCCTTATCTATCTGACGGGTGTGTATAGGGAATGTGGCGTGCTGCCACGGGGGGAGAATGAATCATTTCTTGGTGGATGAGCACAAACCATGGCCTCCCTCCTGTTAGTCATTTTCAAGTGCAAGTGGTGCTAAGATCCCGAGCAGCTTGGCCGTGTGAACCTGACAGGATGTACTGCCAAGCACAACGGCACATGGCCAACCAAGCCTGCCCCTCAGCTGCAAAGCATCTCCACACGCAGAAAGAGAGTTATAAGACACCTGGCAGACACGCGAGACACCCACGTCTGAGAGGAACCGAGCTGGTGGGAGCTGGGCCCATCCGTTCCCAACAGAGACTGAGCTGGCCCTGCCGGCTGTGGCGGTCATCAGGGCACCTCACACACGAGGGTAGGAAAGGCCATGGAAACCTGCAGCTCTCCATGTGAGAACTGTGTGTGGGCATGGTTCTTCTGCTCTTAAGTAACTAGTCAAATCCACAATAACAATTACAGGTATGACTTCTTACCTGAGGAGTTAGAGAATGGTCGGGCCTGTTCCCTAGAAAACCATGTGGGAATATACCAGGCTACACCATCTTGAATGCCCCATCAATCCGCTCCCGGGTGAGCTACACCCAGGCTGTTTTGGTTAAGTCGGGTGTTTTTGCTCAGAGCACCCCTGACCACGCACAGACTCTGTGCTGGAGGCCAGCTTGCTTTCCCACTGAGTAACACTAAAATGGGGGTGCACAACAGATATGATGCAGGCAGTGATGTGCCCGAGCCCAACGAGACAGGAAATGAGCCAGGACCAGAGCCCTGACCAACCCACCCGGGGAGTCCTTCAGCCCAAGATCAGAGCTCAACACCCCACCCACCCCAGGGCTGAGATTCCAGAGTCTTCCTGAAATTCACTTCTGCACATAATTAAGAGCAGAGACACAGCCAAGATGTGATCTCTTTATGCAGAGGCAGCAAGCACAGGGGGACAAACGGTAAGCAAGACACCCCAGCGGGCCACAGAAACCGCTTCCACCCCAGCGGGCCACAGAACCGCTTCCACCCCAGCGGGCCACAGAAACCGCTTCCACCCCAGCGGGCCACAGAACCGCTTCCACCCCAGCGGGCCACAGAAACCGCTTCCACCCCAGCGGGCCACAGAAACCGCTCCACCCCAGCGGCCGCGGAACCGCTTCCACCCCAGCGGCCACAGAAACCGCTTCCACCCCAGCGGGCCACAGAACCGCTTCCACCCCAGCGGGCCACAGAACCGCTTCCACCCCAGCGGGCCACAGAACCGCTTCCACCCCAGCGGGCCACAGAAACCGCTTCCACCCCAGCGGGCCACAGAAACCGCTTCCACCCCAGCGGGCCACGGAACCGCTTCCACCCCAGCAGGCCACAGAAACCGCTTCCACCCCAGCGGGCCACAGAAACCGCTTCCACCCCAGCGGGCCACAGAACCGCTTCCACCCCAGCGGGCCACAGAAACCGCTTCCACCCCAGCGGGCCACAGAACCGCTTCCACCCCAGCGGGCCACAGAAACCGCTTCCACCCCAGCGGGCCACAGAAACCGCTTCCACCCCAGCGGGCCACAGAAACCGCTTCCACCCCAGCGGGCCACAGAACCGCTTCCACCCCAGCGGGCCACAGAAACCGCTTCCACCCCAGCGGGCCACAGAACCGCTTCCACCCCAGCGGGCCACAGAACCGCTTCCACCCCAGCGGGCCACAGAAACCGCTTCCACCCCAGCGGGCCACAGAAACCGCTTCCACCCCAGCGGGCCACAGAACCGCTTCCACCCCAGCGGGCCACGGAACCGCTTCCACCCCAGCGGGCCACGGAACCGCTTCCACCCCAGCGGGCCACGGAACCGCTTCCACCCCAGCGGGCCACGGAACCGCTTCCACAGAGACTGAGTTAGCAGCACGAAGCCCACGCCCACATTACGTTCAGGCTGTCACAGGGACACGGAAGCCAATCCTAAGAGCCCCACTCCATGATTCCCTCCCCAAGACGGGTCTCAAGCCTCCCTATGGACCCCGATGTCTTCCCAGGGATAAGACACATCTACCAAAACATACAGGCCATGTGGGAAGACAGGTTTGTCATGACCCAGTATGGAAGTTACAGAGCTCTTTGTAGTGTGCCATGACTGCAGCTCTTCAATGTGACCAGGAAGTTCCCCTTCCTAGGGCCACAATGCAAGCCCTGATCCCTGTTAAGCTGTGAAGCCATCTGTCCTGCCATTCTAACTATGGGATAAGGGCTAACCCACTACACGCGACACCATAGACATTTGCTGCTGGTGGGACAGGGCCTCAAGTCTTTCTGCATTTCTCTGTGCACAAACGCTGGTTAGCAAGTGTGCAAAGGACACAAACATCACACGTGGCGATGTGAGCGAACAGCACCCACGGTGGAGATGACACAGAGCAGTGACCACTCAGTAAGGAGGTGGAAGATGTGCATGCTGGGAACACGCGGGAAGGCATCACTCACCTCCCGATGGCAGCACACGGAGCTGCCTGAGCCCTGCTCTACCCTCTGACACCCCACCCGCGGGTGCCGAGCTGGGGACTCAGCACCACAGTGACGGCCAACACAGGGAAGAGCCCCACGGCAGCGCCTCGTCTCTGTCCGTGCTTACACATGGGGGAAGGTAGGGCAGGAGCCACTGGCACAGACAGGCAGATGCTGCACAGGCTGGAGGATGGCCCCTGGAGCATAAGGACCGTGCTTCTCCAAGCAAGGCCAAGGGCGCACCTCAGGCCACGCCCCCAGCTCCACAGGTACCACCGCACACCACATAGAATGACAGACATTCTCAGTGTAGAGCTGAAACCACAGGGAGCCGCAGGAGTTCCCATGAATGGCGGGGCACTGTGACAGTGCCCCAGGGCACCAAGCAGGCCGAGTGCGGCCCTTCCCCTCCCCCCCTTCCCACTGCTGCGCAGTGTGCAGGCCTGGGACTGCCTGAGGCTTACCTTCCCGGACTCCCTCCCTCATGGGGTCCCCGGCCAGCCTCACCTGGGCCCGCGCATGCCAGAGGTGCTCCTCTCGCCAGATGAGGACAGGCCTAGCGGCTGCTCTCTTCGGATCCCTGGGGCCCTGGGCTTCCTGGGCTTTGGCGCCCTCTCCTGTTCATTTTCTTGGTCTTCTGGCTTCTTCTTCTCACTGTCACTGTCATCGCTGCCTTCTCCAAGGATGTCATCGACCTGGCAAAAGGTAGAGTCAGCGGCCTTGCCAAAGTCACATGATCCACTCGCTCAGGAGGGGCCAGCATAGATAGCGCCATAGTGACCGGCCCCACACAAGGGCATACTCGGCGCCATGCTGCAGGGGGCCGGAAGTTTACTTAGCTCTGCTCTCTACTTGAATGCTGGGGTCTGATTCCGGGGTTAAATGACAGCGGAAGAGCAGATATTCCCATGGAGCTGCACACTCAAGTCCGGTAGAAAGAACGGAGGCTTTCATCTAGGGGCTTAACTTCTCACATACTGTACTGATGGATTTGTGTATTTGTGTGTGTGTGTGTGTGTGTGTGTGTGTGTGAGTGAGCTGGACATTTACTTAACATGCTCTAGATCAGTGAGACCCAGAGCCTGACCACGTACTTCCCAGGGGGACAGGCTCCTAGATCCTGGAGCCTAGAGTGCAGTTTGCTGGAAGGCAGCTGTTTGGCTGGTGTTCTCTTTCCCATCTATCTCAAGCGTGGAATAGGACGCGAGGGTGATGCCAGAGCAATGTGATGGGCCTAGCTGGGATTCTGGCTACTGAGATTTGAGGGCGGGCAGAGGGAAGTAAGGTGGCAGGGGCAGAGAATGGGGGAGGGAGGGGGCACAGAAAATACAAGACAGAAGACAGGCCGCCGTTAGGGGACCCTCCAACACTACAGTGACTGCCTTGTGCCTCCGAACCAGAGTAGGAACTGGCATTATTGCTACTGGCTTTGGCACTCTGACCCCAGAACTCAAGCTCTTGGCTCTCAGCCTGCACTGTAGGGCTGAGCAGAACAGAGCAGAGTGGGGTTTACCACCTGCTCACCAGTGAGGGGGTTTACCGAGTTCCAGCAGGGTAACGTGGTAAGTCCTGCCCACCACAGTCCTGACGGGCAGCTCTGCTGGGGGCTCCCACCCACAGCAAAGCTCTGCCAGGCCGAGAGGCAACCTGCGTGAGCTACATGGCCAGCAGTGTCTCTGTGTGGCCGACTGCATCTACGCCCCAACCAGAAAGCACTTCACATATCTGTACCAGCATTTCTGCGTGGCAGACAGATGACTTGAGCATGCAATAACTCTGCTGGCTGGCCAAAGGCTTAGAGAAACATCTTAAAAGCCAAAGCAAAATCGTGGGCATGCACCAAGTCTGGCCTTGTTTCAGTCAAGCTTCCGTTTGGAAAGGACATGAATTTTCCAAAGGCTTTCTTTTACAAATGTGTCAATAACTGCCTTTTGAAAACTAGTTATCTGTAATGAACCTAAAAGCAGAACAGTAAAATTGTTTTATATGTTAAGGGAAAACTTAAAACCAAGTATGTAGCATGGGGAAAAATTTTTCAACATATACTGAATTAAGCACTAAGGCCACATAGCATATCGAACCTTCCCGTGCCATCAACACAGGCGCGTTAAGAGGGTGCCCGTCCATTGCAGGAGATGAGCTTTCTGACAATGTCTCAGCTCAGCTTTAGAGCCAGTAAGCAAGTGTGTGGCCGGGTAGATAGAGATGCGGGGAACACGAGGGACAGGGCACAGCAGTCAGCCCAGAGTCATGCAGTCATCTTTCTCCTCTGGTGTGGAAGTTCCACACCACAGACAGACACACTGCCTCTTCCCCTCGTGGCACAGAAACCGGAGGACGAACGCAGACTTGCCAGGGAATGGCTCCATACCCACTCCACCACACAGGACCAGCACGGACTCATCAGAGAACATGAGCGGCAAGGGACAAGTTGCTTAGCCTTAAACTTGCACCAACTGATTTAGAACCCAAATAAATGTACTTCCTTGTCCCAAAGAACCAACATTCTGATTAGTAGAGCTTTCTGAAAGAAAAACAAAATGTGTTTATAATCACTCTTTTCTGGAAGTTTCCTGATGATGTTACAAAGGGCAGAGGGCACCCCACACAGAATTTCAGGACCTCCAGGACACTGCTGACACACGCTGGCTGGCTTCATGACTTGGGTCACCCTGTCGCTTCCTGAGATGGCCCTGGTCTCCTCCGTCCCTGAAAGTTAATGCCTGTCAGTCACAGTTCCTGACATATATCAATGACCATGATTCAGTACTTTTAAAACCCCGTTATGTGTCCTTTTTCTCTGTCTATATAGCTAGGCTGGTTTTCTGTTGTAGGACAAGGCCTTATATTTTCCACACAGCACGCTTCTCGGACTCTTCAGCGGTAGAAGCCCGAACGTCAGCTGGGAGCCAAGCACTCAACTAAGACAGGAGGGATCTGTAACTCACTCCAAGAGCAAATGGGACAGAGGAGATTGCCACTCCTGCGATGGATATCCCCACACGGGCTGTTTTGGCCATTTAGAAGCGACTCCAGTGGCCTAGTGGTTATGCCAAGGCAAGAGCGGCAGCCTGACCGCAGGACCTGAGTCCCACCACAGCACTAAGAGCTAGAAGGACGCTGGGCTGGTTGGCTGACTCAGAGTGCTGAGGCCCAGCAGGGATCCTACGCCCTGCACTTGATTTCTGACCTCGGGACAGAGGCTGCTTTAGGCTTCTGCACCTGCATACTTGTTACACAGCACAGAAAACTGGTAGAGCGGTGGAAGGTATTTTAAGAAGAATGATGTCAACTGAGAAACTATTTTTATGAACAGAAAACACTTTGAAGGCCAAAGAGAAACTTTAATGACATGTGAAAAACCCCCAAACTTGGAAAACAAACTTGAGGGGTTCTGAAACTGCTCAAGAGTATTTAAAACTGTCACACAGATGCTGGCTGTGGGCAGCACATATGTTCTGAAAAGACTCATGCAAATTACTCTCTAAAACCCCCAAGAAAGTTTTTTACACCAGGGAGATGAAAACAGACGATAACCACAAGCTCTTTCTCGAACATGGACACATTTTCACACGTAATGAACTTTACCACTTAAACCCCAGTAACCAACACTTTCAGGAAATAAACAAAAGGCCAGAGAGACAGGGTCATTCTTCCAAACACTTGACTAAAAATCAAAACTGAGCATAAGAACCTGATAAGGACTTTAGATCACTATCAAGGGGCACTCTGTAGGAATACAGTAGGATACATTGTTACCAATGACCTCTGCTGACTAAATAGCTTACAAAAAAGGATGCGCTCTTAGTCCTGGCTAACCAGGAAGATTGACAGGAGGTAGGAATGACTGTTGTGGTCTGAGAAGCAAACCCTTAGAGGTGCACGCTCTCGGTCCAGGCTGCCTTTCAGTTCCCCGGACAGATTCTAATTCAGCATGAATTACTGTTCTACAGTTGATCTTAGCCCAAACAGTAAGAGGTGATTAATCACTGCAACAAAGAGACGGGCGGGGAGCTGAACTCAGTGCAACAGCAAACCCACTCTAACAACAGTGGTTTTTAGGTTACGGTGCCAAACACTGAATCAGCAAAGCGGCCCACACTCAGCTTTTGCCTAGCAAGCCCTCATCACACCCTCTTAGCTGCTTGAGGTGAGAGGGGCAAGTCTTCAAGGACAGAGAGGCGGGACTGAAGGTCAAGCAGCCACGGAGGACCATGGGAAATGCTCTGCTCTTCTCCACAGGCCACACACGCACCTGCCTGATTCTTTTGTTGACATGCTGATGACTGGCCTTCCTCAGCAAAAGCTTTCTAAGGCGGATCACAGAAGCAGGCAAGCAAGGAAATATGATGATGCATCTGTCTCTAGTCATTATCACAATATGAAATGATGTCCTCGGGTGTTATTGCTCTTGGCTTTTTTTCTTATAAAAAAGGTAATATTTGTTAATCTGAGGATAAACAGAACGTCCACGATACTAACAGTGACTCACTTCCTAACACGGAAAGGTGGATGTCAGACACAGGAGACACAGAATTCTCTAGCACCATTTTTCTTGAAACATCACTATGCTAAGCCTGCAACTTGCACAAGTCAGAGAGTCTCCTAGTTTTCGTGGCTGACCAAACACATTCTTTCCAAGACAGGATACAACAGACAGGGCCACGAGACAGAGGGTGCGAGCGATCTCTGCTGCAGTCAGAGGGTACAACCACAATGCAGCAAAAAGGAGGTCAGGACTAGCACACGAAGTCCACCCACTGTGAAAACAAGCATTTACAATTTGGCAAGTAACTGCAAAACTTCCTGGTGTAGCTAGAGTCCACGGGCCAATTCCCAGCCCTGCTCTCCAGAGTGTACGCACCAGGCTAAGAAACAGAGGGCCACACAAGCCTAGCTGGTGACTCCTGACAGGGCCCCACACCCCTAGCCCCATGCAGACACACCTTCCCATGGTCTCTCTGACCCAAACAAAGCATCACAAAGTCTGGAGTTGGCGCGCGGATTTAACCCACCCACTCACATGGGGAGGCTGCTATCTACGTCCTCCTCAGTTCAGACACTCTCAGCCACCATTTCTTCTGGAACGTTCCTGCCCCAGCCCACCGTCTTCAGATCCAGACTGTCAGCAGTACTCATAGGCACCGCACCACCGTTCCTAGGTTATCTTGCAGGGAAACCACTCCTGAGGCTGTCTGGAAGGGCCCTGTGACACTTCCCTGCTACCTTATACACTAAGGTGCCACTGGTGGATCTTAGTGGCTCTGCCACACTTCCTGCATGTGTCACCTCTGAAACCGGCTCTTCTGTGTAGTTCCTATTTCTTCAATGACTTTAGGATGGCTCACCACACACAGGCCACATGAGACTGCTTCAACGGGTGTGTGACCATCGCCGTCACAGCCCTGTTTGCACTGTATAGCGCTGACTTAGCAGATGAAATCTGTGTTGCTTTCTGTGGACAAGGCTCCAAAGTGAATCTGAGAGGCCCTGCAATGCTACCCTACTGTTGAGGTAGACGCTGGGATGATGAGAACTATCTGAACTAACTATCCTCAGTCAGCTCTCAGGGCCACTGGCCCACTTCTGTGCTTTCAAACGGCCCAGACACGGGTATGGGCTCATAACCCGTACAGGAGGGTCCCTTCCCCTGGTTTCCCTCAGCCCCCACTCTGCAGTGGGTAGTGGCACATAG